TGAACGTTTTGATACCAAATTTGTTGAAATCGGCTGAAGTATGGGGAACTAGTTAGAGACGGAAAAACGTACGGAAAGTATAATAATAATAATAACTAGAAAAAGCTGTTTCGGAGAAACATCAAAGTGGGAATGCTTTTGGGCTGGGGGAAAAAAAAAGCTAAAAATTTCCCTGAAGAAAATATAAAAATGTGATGGGAAAGTCCAGAAAAATTTCCAAACTGCAGAAAACAATTGAATCTTTCTGAAGTTTTTGTGGGGTAAAATCCTTTGGCATAAAAGGGCCCAGAAAAAAAAAATCATTTTTAAAAAAAGCCCCCCAAAACCTTTACATGATTTTTTAAAAATGGGGGGGGGGAATGGGGGGCACTAAAGGGTTTTTAATATAATTTCCCCCCAAGGGTTTTTTTAAAAAAAAATGTTTTAAAAAAAATTTTTTGAAGGGGGGTTTAAACCTATTTTTCCGGAAACATTTTCGGGCGCTTATAAATTTTGCAGCAAACAGAAAATTTTAAATTTCCTTTGTCCTGAAACAGAGCAAATGAACCCCAAATTTTCCCAACAACTAGGCTAAAAAGAAAATGAAATTAGCTGAAGTAGAAAAGAAAATTACAAAGAAAAATTTAATCTTATCGGGTTAAAAAAAAAATTTGGGTGCTTAAGGAGGGAAAATTTAAAAATGTTGGGGAAGTGGAAATTGAAATAAGTTTAAAAATTTTTTGAAATCTTTTTGGGGGAAAGGGTCAAGACTTGGGCAAAAAAAATTTGGGAAAAAATTTTTTAAAATGTGTCGGGTTGCCCCGCTTTAAAAAAAACCAGTGTCATCTTAAAAGGATTAAAAAATTTTAAAAACCCCTTGTGCAAGACGGGACCTTTTGAGAAGCAGGGGAAGGAAGATAGAGAAGTTGTAAAAAGAAAAGCTTTTAAACATTTAAAGGGAAATTGAATTTATAAAAAAATGAACCTGCATTGTTACGACCCCGCTGTGGTTAATGGAAAAAACCGGGGGGCGGGTTTTTGGGCCTGATGTTACAAGGTTAGCAGATGCTTTATTACATTTAAAAATGTTTAAAACCCTGATTAAAAAAATTTGGGGGGGGCCACAAAGGTGGTGTAAACAGGCCCTTTGGTAGGGGAAAAATTTTGGGGGGGAAAGGGGTTTTGGGGGAAGGGTTTGGGGGGGGGAAATTTTAAGGGGGGGGGACAAAAAATGGGGGGGTTGGTGGGGGGGGTGGGGGGGGTTTTATTTTGAATTTTAGTTTTTTTGGAAAAGTTTTTGGGATGGGGTTGAAAGGGGAAAGGGCCCTTCCCCTCATTTGATATAGAACCCTTTTCTAAATATGAAAACATTTTTTTTCCCATGTTTTTGGGGTAATAGTTTGCTGTATTGGGAGCGTAAATGGGAGCTTTTATTGTAAAATTCCGGGGGGGTATGTTTTAAAAGGGGCCCTGGGAAGGCCTAAAAAAAACAAACGGGTAGAGTTTGGGCTTTAAGGGCTGAGCCATTTGCATCAATTATTACGGGGGAGTTTTAAATTTTAAGAGGTTTTATTTGTAGGGTCACCGGATCTTTTTTTTAAAGTTAGCAGTAGTGTGTTGAGAAAAGGGGTCGGGCCCCCAGCATGATATTTTGATAAATTTTCCCCCAAATCATTAAAAATTCACTTTTTTCCCCTTTTTTTAGGGCATAATGAAGTGGCAATGGGGGGCTTTTTTTTTTTAAAATTTGCGGGTGGGGTTTTTTTTAAAAAACCCCCCCAAAAGAGTCTAATTTTAAAAAAGGGGTTTGAGTTCAAAACAAAATTTTTTTGGGGCCATATGCTGGAAAAAAATTTTAGTTTAATGGGGGGCTTTTTTTTTTAAAGGGCCCCCCCGGATTTTAATTTTGAAAGTCCATCGGGTTGCGTTTTGAAGGGAAGGGTCATGGCCATTTGTCATATTTTATCCATTCCTAATGTTAAAACATGTTTTCCCCCCTCCATTAGATTTAAAAAGGGGCTGTTTAAAATTGGGAGAGGTAAAAATCTCTCTGGGCACGGTTACCCTTTTGGGGGAAAGTTAAAAAGAGCTGTCAGTGACAGAGAGAAAATGGCGCTTACTTTCGTTCCTTAATTTTCAGGGGGTTTTTTGAATGGGATTATCAGCTCCAACAAACGAGTGCGGGAAACAAACCGTAAATGGGATTTTAAAAAATTGGGGGCCAAAAAAAAAAATTAAAAAAAAAAAAATCAAAAAAAAAAAAAAAGAGAGGGTACCTTTGTCTCCCCTTTTTGGGGGGCTTTCATGGATGTAGCCCCATTTTACAAACCTTAATGGGGGGAAGGAGAAATAAAATGTTTTAGAAATCCTTTTGGTTTTCATTGAATTTAAATGCAGCCAAAATGGTAGAGCAAAACTCTCCCAAAAACCCAAAAATTTCCCTCCGAACAAACGAGCGGTGAGCCAAAACCCGATTAGGGATTCAAAAAATTCTTTCCCCCGTGAGCCCCAGCCATCTTTGGGGCTACAACTGGTGTAATGTTCATAAATTTCCCACAATATTTCGTCTAGGCGTTTGGGGAAAAAATTTTAAAAAAGTTATAATTGTCAAAATCTCGAATTTTGGTGTTCGGACAGATTTGTTACCCCCCCAACAACCCTTTTTCCTAGCTAAACGATAAAAGATATCGACACAATTCCTTCAATGTGAGTGCTAGGAAGGTCTGAGGAACAACTTTAGCAAGGCTCATGTTGCTACGTCGAACGGTTCCCAAATGGGAGCGATACGAAAAAGTCTGTTGTTTTGAATTTTCAGTTCGGATTTTCAGAGAGCTCTCATTGGATTTCTATTGAGGAAGTGTGGACTTCTTCGTGGTCTGGGCCAAACTGTCGGAAAACCGTAAACGCCACACAAATGAGGGTTATATTTCCTGAATCCTGACAAAAATCCCTACGTTTTGATGTATAATTTATTTCAACTGAGTGAAAAATGAGGGACTGAGAACAATTTGTTCGGAAAAAACCAGAACAGCTCAAAAGCTAGAGCACGCACTCTAGCAGTTGAAGAATTCCGTCCATAGACTTCCATTATAAATCTGAAAATCTTTAAAATTTCTTTTAAAGTTTGAATCTTCACTGAAGCAAAACTGTAAAAGTTAGCAAAAAGCTGAGATAGATAGTAATAGCAGAAAGATACGGAAACATTTTAAAAGTTGAATGGTGTTTCTAGCTGAAAGTATGCTGAAGTAGTTAAAGGGCAAAGTAGCTGAAGATTCAGTGGAATTTTGGAAGTTTTACATGTATTTCAATGGGACAGAAAAAGTCATAAAAAGCTAAATATTTAAAAAAGTATAATAGCTGAAGTTATCACAAGATACAGCAGGATGGACCAGAAGAAGCTGAACGTTTTGATACCAAATTTGTTGAAATCGGCTGAAGTATGGGGAACTAGTTAGAGACGGAAAAACGTACGGAAAGTATAATAATAATAATAATAAAGAGAAACAGAAAAACAATAAGTGGGAATGCATAAGCATTCCCACTTGATAAAAAAGAACTTCTAAATATACATGCCATTTTAGGCAAAAATAGATAAAAGCAGTTTGACTTTGTAATGGTTTTCGAACAGCATCGACTTTTTCAGATAGTGAAAGTCCCGCCGATAGAATATCATATGCGCCAATGCCTGCTCCGCCCCCACTTCGCACCTATTTGCCGTTTCGGCTCTGTATGTAACGGAGGTGTGAACTTTAACGCTATCCCACTCTGAAATTTCCATAAGTTACATAACATTCATGAAAGCAGTCATTACAAGATCTAGGAACACTTTGATCTTCGCTGTCCACATCGGAGGCAAAAACACATTCAAAGTTAGCGATAACCCACACAACTCCAAGGCTACCGTCCAAAATACCATGTTAGTTTCTTCTTTTTTTAAAGGTTATGACTGATATGCTTTAAGTTTCCCTCAAACTCAACCAGGCAAGGAAAAAAAACTGTAAAATGCAACAATCTTCTGCTGACAATGGTTCTAGCAGCACTGGGGAATTTGTTTTGCTGATGCAAAACACTGAGGAAATATGGCACTTCGATCGCAAAAACCATGATGCATTAAAGACTTTGGTTCTCACAGTTATTATAATTCAAGTTAATACGTTTTAAAATATAATAAAAGGCTTCTTCTTCCAATTTAATTGTGGGAGAAGCCAGCTGCAAACTCATGCTACACTCAGTTTAAGTCTTAGATACAAGTAAACAACTGGATTTAGTCACTGGTAGATTGGTTGACTAAGTTAACCACTATAAGCAATACAAATCAACGCATTTCTACAATTTGGATTTGAATGTTCAGACTGAGGATGTGCCATGAAATCTGTGCAACAGATTTAAGCAGTTTATGACTGCAACCTCACCTATGTTTTATGAATGGAACAATTTTGTATTAATTTTCAGTTTGGTTGGTAAGAAACCCCATAGTTCCTCAAGATATACCGTCATTCCAATAGTTTCATCAACATTAGACTCAAGAATTTAGATTCCTCATTATAAATTTAAGCCAATTAGCTATTAGCTAATAAGTTGGAAGTATTTCTATCATATTCCAGCTAAATGGCAGCCATAATGAATTACTGGATTAATGTATTTTGTTTCAAAGTCAAAATTGAACCTATTGGGAAATTCCAGCTGATTCTTAAATTTTAAAATTATAACATAAACATTGATACAAATTAACCATAAAACCTTGCTTTGAAAAGTCTGAAATTTTAGGTATGATGAGTAGCCAATCAGGCAAAGACTAAGCAGAGACTAATTAATAGACTGATTAATAAAGAAGGAAATGTTGCATTATTTATCCATCAATGTAATTATTTGTTCTCTTTTACTTTTATTTATCATAATTTATGCTCCTGTTTCACACTTGCATTCTGTTTGTAATGGTGAAAAAATGCTTAGCAAAGCCTCAAAGTTACTAGTAGCATATCTCCAACATAGAAACTGAAGTTATTCAGGGAAATTTTTACCTGACGTGCAGCTGAAGGCTCAGGAAAAGGGAGAGGAAAGGATTCTTCGCACACTGCCAGGCTTCGCACCAGCTTTTGCCTGGTACTGGACTAATGGGGAAGGGGGATGCAGGTAGGTGGGCACAGTTAGAAACCATGCACACAGAAAATTGTGCCTCATTGACAAGTGATGATCCACAACGGCAAGCAAAACACACTTTTCAGTTAGCAAATCTTTTGAATGACTGCCGAATTTAACCTTTGTGCTGTCGTTTTTTTTTTTTGTCAAAGAGAAATCAAGGTGGCAAGCTCAAAGAAACGTCCAGACTAGTCTGTTTGCATCTCAAGATACAGCTGTGCAAAGGCTTTTTTTTTTTTTTTAAAGACATCATCAGCAGCAGCGCACAGAGACGTCTCGGCAGGAAACAGGTGTACGACTTCAAACTGGGTTGGAGGAATGAGCGCAATCCAAATGCACACGAGACGGGCTGAAGCATCCTACAAACATGCAGCTTCAAGAAAAATCATACCTTGGAGTGCTTCACAGGCTGTCCGTACGCGAGAGAGGGGGGGGACAAGTGCACAGAAAACACACATTAAAAATCACAAACCACACAAAGTTCGGATGCAAGAGGAGGGCTGTTGCTTTAAGAAGTGGAAAACATCTAAATTATACAAGACTGTCCCAGATTTCCACAAAAAGGCGTCGAGTGATTTAAAACATTTAGACAGGTGAAAGAACTAATGCTTTTTATGCCTCCTACTAAAACAAAGAGATTAAGTGCAAAATAACGTGACTGATTTGAGATAAACATTAAAATTCTCTTTGAAATATTGCAATAATAACAAATTCCCCCAAATTGTACAGAAAATATGCCCCCTTCACTGTAATGCAACCAGCCTCCATGAGGATGGGTTTGGGTCGATATGCAGCGTTTTGGTTTCAAAAACACAGCATTTTATTTGCAGATCTTAAAGTTCAATTAGTCTAATTTGAAGAGAACCTTTAACTAAGTGTCTATTGTATTCCCTAATGTTTTCCTAGGCTGAATGCAAATCAGGAGAGATAGAATGCGTTCATATTTGCTGCTAGATTTGTGGCACTGAAAAGCTCCTTTCTGTCACTTAAAAACGCAGATGTTAGGGGGAGAGACATTAGAATCGGCTTTGGGTTTTGTTCCCAGCTGTATTTAGCTTTGATGCGTAGCAAACACCCAACATGAGGATCACTGAAATGTGATACAGGCCACCTTTTGGTGTGCGACACATCTTTATGCACTAGTGCCTCTCAGTGTGCGTCTATGAGAAAACAGAAGGTCTCTCAGCGGCACGTAGAAGAGAGGATGGTAGAGAGAGGCCTCTGCTTCCTAATCCCAACATGCATCTTTACACACACACACCCACACGCCTCCATCCTCCCACTTGTCCTCTAAAAATCAAAAGGACAACCCCTCCTCCTCCTCTCCATCACTGGGCTCGAGGGGCAAATAACACCTATAAAAAATTGAAACAGGCTGCTGTTCGTCCATCTCCAATGCCTGTGACCTGCCGCGCCCCGTTCTGTATCAGGTGATATGGATGCAGGGGGAGGGGGCTGGGACTGTGAGCGCACCGCTACACCGGCTAATTGAGCAGTGTGGGGCCGGAGGGGAATGAACAATGCCGGCAGGAGATAAAGGAATGGCAAAAGAGGAGGGTGGGGGCAAACGGCTGAAGTCAGCAAAAGTGGGGTGCGCACCCAGGCCCGTGTGTCCTGCCGCAAAGGACGGAGCAAGAGAGCTGGAGGCAGATGGCAACAAAGTCATTCCACATACCGCCAATACCCCTCTGCCTTCCTACCACAGTCTCCTTGTTTAAATTCCCCCCTGTTCCCCTGTCTCCTGCATCTCTCCAACTATGAAAGCCTGAGGCGTTTAACCGATGCAGCTGTACAAGGAAACAGAAACTGGTTCACCTCATGAGCTGCTGAGAAATGTGAGGCGAGAGGTCGGATAAGTCTGCGCTGTTCACATACAGGCTTTTACATTAATTTTTTTACGTTTCGGCAAAGTTAAATCCACAAACTAACTGTAAAGCTGAAGGGAAATGGACAAAAATCTAGAAAGTGTGCTGTATGTTGGGATATGACTCAACATGAGGAAATCACATTGTTGAATCACCTTTTGCCACACTTACAGCTGCAGCTCAGAGGGTACGTCTCTGCCTGCTTTGCATACTTAGAATCCGAAATCTCGTTAGACAAATTTAACTGAGAGCATATTGGTAAAGATCTTTAATTGGATTCTACAATTAGATTAGGACACATTAACATGGTGGATCCAAACCATTTCATTCCAACTGTGGTTTGATGTTGAGAGCTGATCCTCCACAGTTTAACAGGTTTTTCTTACGGTTTTGTAAGAAAAAATAAACTCTTCCCTGCTTCCTAGTTCCTGCTGAAGAAAAGCCTCCCCACAGCATGACACCTCCACCACCAAGGAGGATAAACAAAGAGCCTAAACACTGAATTGGTTGGACCAGACTGCAATTCCTTAAAAAGTATCTAATAGAGTCCCTATTTGTGTTTGTGCACGTATAAAAAAAATAAAAAATGCATTCATATCTGTAGCTTCATTGTAAGAAAAAATGTAATTCTCTGTAATGTGTGATTTTGTGCTTAAACCCTTTTTGTACCTTAAGCCAAACTCTAGCATTCCCTTTTGCCTGAACCAGTAGAGACATATCTCTGTACTGAATAAAATTTAATTGAGTTTCCCACTTTTAGCATCCTAGTTTAGGTTTTCTCATAACACTACAAACACCTTTTTTCCTTCTCCCCTTCTGCGCTCTCTCCTGCTGCTCCCCCACATGCTGGTGTCATTCTGTTCCTCGGGGTTACAAAGAAGCAGGAAGTTGGGAGATAAGCCAGGATTTGAGCTCCCGATTATCTGCCTGCCTGACTCCCTCGCTCTCCCTGCCTCCAACCACAAGGCCAGATTGGCCTGAATCCTATTTTTAGGCTGTAGCCAGAGAGACGATTGTTTTGCCTTTCCTGAATATTGATTCTTTGAAAACACTTAAAGGGGATTTTGCACCATTTTTTTTTTTTTTATCTCCAAATGTATAATGCAGCCAGTAGCTGTTTTAATTTGGGAAATCAAATTAACAAGTGCAAATTTCATGAAGTCCCAATGCACAGTGTTCCAGTGACATACACCTAATTAATTAGCAGTTTAAGTGAAAGTGATCTCAGCTGTCCTGAATCCCCAATAGATCGTTCCTTTACATTCTGATCTTTTGCGATTGATTCATGGCAGGCACATTTCGCTGAATGTCACCAACTGACCTTAGCGGTTAGGGGAGGAAGAGTGAAGGCAACTCATTATTTCAGGTTGTGCAGATTACAATTTTCAGAAATCCTTTATTTCCTCCTCCCCCTCACTGGAGCTACTGGGGAGAAGCTTGAATGCCGCAGGTGACAGGAGATCCCCCCAGGCGGTGGGGTGGAGTTGACGATTCTGATAAGTTTTCATGGAAATGAGTGGAGAATGTTTGCCGAGGCTGTCAGGTGTCCTCGGCTTACTCCCGCCCGGACAGGCTGCTGGGAGACTTTCTCAAAGTGACATCTGCTTTCACACCAGCGCTCCATCGTGTCACGTATGAAACAGACAACCAGCGCTGATCTCATTCTGCTGCTGTGTAGCTCATTACCTGAATATCCTTCTTGTTGTTGCTGCCTTGTTCCTCCTTGCTGCTCTGGCTCCGGTCGCAGACCTCAGACTTGGTGGCGTTGTCTTTTGCGGGTGACACTGAGTCGGCGGTCTCGGAAACCTTCATCGTTTCAGTGTCCACGATATCGGACATTCTCATCGCAATGTCTTACTGGGAGATGCTGGTAAATATAGGGAACCTGAAAGACAGGAGGAGGAATAAACCTGACTGAGTTTCCCTGAAGCAGCAGTATTGGTTAAAGATTATTATTATTATTAGTTGAAGCAACACAAATACTAACACTACAATATAGAATAAGGTTAGTCTTTTTCATTTATACTCGATGTTATTCTTTACATCAATCTTTCTTACCGACGCCAGACACAAGATTCTGGTACCTATTAAAAAATAAAGTATTTTTATTACTAAAAAATATGCATTTCTTCATGACCGGAATAAAAAGCAAGGAAATTTCACTTTAAAAAGAAAATTCCTTATCAAACTGAATCTATACACAGTGCCTTTGTGATTTTACCAAACATCTAAGTTGGAATTTTTCCCTCAAGCAGAATAATGATTTTATTTTCATTTTCTGCACCACACAAAAATGTGCTTATGTTTGGCTTCAGGGTTTCCTTCTTCACGTGGCCTTAAATACTCTCTTGTCCAGTGTCTCGTCTGTAAACCTTACAGTGGAGCAGCAGCTGCAATCACTTGCCATCCGAGTGGAGACAAACCCACTTTAAAGGGACGTTATCATGCAAAAAAATGTTTTATTTGACCTTCAACCCTGTTATTAGTCCTGAAAATGTGCAAATGGTCATGGGCTTTAATGGGTCTTCTCAAAGAACAGCAGAACCACCAGAAGTGGTGTGATACTGTGCTGCAGCACAACAAGCGTCATTAGCATTACTGCCACCTAAAGGACTGGAGAGTTAAAGTTGGCATTGCAAACATTTAGTTGCACATTCATAGTGAAAACCAGATAAATGCATCAGACTAGAGCCCGACCGATAAATTGGGGGGATGATTTTAGCGTCTGGCTCAGTAATTGACATGGGCCAAATGTGGCCAATAGACAATATTAGTTTGGCTGCAAACAGCTGAAAGAAACTTTAGCCAGGCGTTGATTCTGGTCATCTGTTCCTCTCTTCCTGAGCCCTTCCTCCCCATATACCCCATTTACACTACCCTTGAAAAACCGTGCCGAGACCGGTCCGAGCTCAGTAATTTAGATAACTTATCGTGTGTAAATGAAAAGCAAACTGAACTGAACCGAGCAAGACACAACCGAACCGAGATAACTGCAGACCAGTTCCAGAGGTGGGCTCGGCTCGGTTTTTCCCTGGCTCGGTTCTCTGATAAAAAGAGCGTATGAGCAGAACGCGTCATCTCCGCCTGGCTGCACATCCCGATTCACACTCCATTCCAGTAGTTGGCGGTAATGCCCCTCCGGAAACAGAACAAGAAGAACGACTTCTTCTTCAAGTATAAACAACAATCGAAATCTTTTTCACGCAACATTTTAAATAATGGCATTTTAAATAATAACACCGAAGTAGAGCAATAATAATCAAGCATAACTTTCTGAATGTGACGGGTGCCGCCATTTTGATTTGCTTGATTCCCTCCTCCTTCGTCTTCTTCTTCTTGTGTTTTATGGCGGTTGGCAAACAACTTTTGGTGCATTACCGCCACCAACTGCTTGATTTCCTCCTTCAATACTGGCAGTAATACCGCAGATCGTCACTAGGAGGCGAGGAACCGAGATGGCGTGATGTGTAAACGGTCGTCAGAACCGAGCTCGGCCTGGTTAACTGATCCGAGCTCGGATCGGTCTCGGCATGGATCGGTTTTTCAAGGGTAGTGTAAATGGGGCTTTAGTGAGCTCTCTCTGCACTGCCGCTCCTCGCAAACACTCACACGTTGCTAGCGTAAGAATGGAGGTGGATGAAGAGGGAGAATGTATACAGCTTACTCTGTGGTAAGCTGTGATTTTGTAAAAATACATATTTGTGTAGTTCTACAAAATGACAACTAACACCCTCATGGAAACACACTGTTAGGGCACATTAAAGAGAGCAGACGAGTTTTAGATGCACTAGTTTTGGCGAACATATTAGCATTTTAGCTCTTTACATTTGATCACTGCTGCACTTTAAGAAATGGAAATGTCTTGAGAGCTTTACAAAACGAAATACCGTTTTGCCTACACTGTGTATGCAAAATGACAAGGTTTGTCACAGTAAGTCTAAACATAATTTTGAGTTTGACAGTGCATATCCCGTGTATATATATGTTTAATTTTTATATTCTGGCGCACATACTATATATATATATATATATACACAGTGTTGTGCCTGAACGCGTTCATTGAACGAAAGTTCATGAACTCGTTCATATTTTGGGCGAACGTGAACTGAACGTACTGCATTACTGCCTGGTGAACGTTATTGTGAACTCGTTCATTCTGGTGTCTGTGAACGGCACGCTCTCTCAGTTCAGCTCCGTTCAATAGGTTGCCAGATTTCTATAGAGTCCTCCAGGCGAAACCCCGGCTAAATCACACCGTAAACAGGCCTTAATATGTAGCGGGAAAAACACCCAATCTGGCAACACCAGCTACCAGCGTCGTAGCCTACAGCCGCGTGCGTCATCAAAACAAAATGCGGCGTGGAAGCCATAGCAGCATGGAGGCTACCGTGGAGGCGACAAAGCAGCAGTATGATCACTTAAAACAGTTTTATGACCAGGTGGTCGGTGAGGATGATGGCAACAAGTTTGCCCGCTGGCTTTCAGTAAAAAAATCCGCACTTCAGTAACCTTAAATTCCTACCTCAGCCTGGTCCCTCAGTTTGTGTTAGTAAAATCTTCTTGAGCGGAGGTCTTCAACAGGGGATCCGTGACCCCTAGGGGGTCTACAGAGGTACTGCATGAGGGTCTGCATGGTTAGTTGATATTTTTATATTCCCCCCCCTGCAATTTTTCCCCCCACTAATTGAAATGTCTTTAAATCCACATTAACATGAAATCAACACACTGTAGTAAACAGATAAATGGAGACAAAAGATGTCTTTCAGTCATCAATGCACACATTCAGCGACACACAGGAGCTCTTTCAAGCTGGGCACCGTTTCCTTCACAACAACCAGGAATCAGAATCAGAAAAATAATCCCAGGGAGAAATTAATTTCTTTACATTACTCCATCTGTAATAGAGTGACTATAGGACACAATTTCATACAATATATATAGTTAGGGGTCCCCGCTCCATCTCGCCATCAGTTTGGGGGTCCTTGGTCTGGAAAACATAGAAGACCCCTGTTCTTGAGGGTTTTACTATCCATGTAACTTGTTTGTTAAACCTGCCTGGTATAATTTTCCAGGATTCCAGTATTCCTTTTTAGTATGTATTGAAATGGAATTTCAAATGGAAAAAATTATAAAAAAAAAATAAATAAAAAAAAAATTTGCACCTTAAAGACTACTTTCCTATTTTTCTTTTAATAATTACTCATAAAAAAGACCATTCAAGCAGCACATTTTTCCTGATGTTTTTGAGAATATACTGTAGGGGTGAAAGCTGCAGCTGCTACTAGTGTGAAGTGAATGGACAGAAACAAAGCGTTAAAGCAACAATGGGGAAATGCTGTCCCCTCAATGCTAATGTAAACCCTGGTTGGATAAGGATTCAAAACTGGATATGAAGATGAAATCTGACGCACAGTTTCAGAGTTATAACTGATAAAATGATTGCTGTCTGTGGTTCTACAGTAGGCTATGGTGTAATTGAGCAATATATGAAAAAAAAAGAACTATGAACTAGTTCATTTTTTGGAATTATGAACTATGAACTGAACTAGTTCATTTTAAAATGTGTGAACTGTACTTTGAACTAGTTCACGTAGAAAGGTCTGTAATTTTCATCATAGGTACACTTCAACTATGAGAGAGGGAAAAAATAAAAAAATAAATACAGGGAATCACATTGTAAGATTTTTAAAGAATTTATTTGTAAATTATGGTGGAAAATAAGTATTTGGCCAATAACAAAAGTTCAACGCAATACTTTGTAACATAACGGAGAACCACGGAGACACGCCTTCGTTGCCCGGGGCGGTGTGTTTGGGATCATTGTCATGCTGGAAGATCCAGCCATGTTTCATCTTCAAGGCTCTTACTGATGGAAGGATGTTTTGGCTTAAAATGTCACGATACATGGCCCCGTTTATTCTTCCCTCAGCACGGATCAGTTTTCCTGTCCCATTTGCAGAAAAACAGCCCCAAAGCATGTTTTTCTTCCCCAATACTTCACTGCTACTAGTGTGAAGTGAATGGACAGAAACAAAGCGTTAAAGCAACAATGGGGAAATGCTGTCCCCTCAATGCTAATGTAAACCCTGGTTGGATAAGGATTCAAAACTGGATATGAAGATGAAATCTGACGCACAGTTTCAGAGTTATAACTGATAAAATGATTGCTGTCTGTGGTTCTACAGTAGGCTATGGTGTAATTGAGCAATATATGAAAAAAAAAGAACTATGAACTAGTTCATTTTTTGGAATTATGAACTATGAACTGAACTAGTTCATTTTAAAATGTGTGAACTGTACTTTGAACTAGTTCACGTAGAAAGGTCTGTAATTTTCATCATAGGTACACTTCAACTATGAGAGAGGGAAAAAATAAAAAAATAAATACAGGGAATCACATTGTAAGATTTTTAAAGAATTTATTTGTAAATTATGGTGGAAAATAAGTATTTGGCCAATAACAAAAGTTCAACGCAATACTTTGTAACATAACGGAGAACCACGGAGACACGCCTTCGTTGCCCGGGGCGGTGTGTTTGGGATCATTGTCATGCTGGAAGATCCAGCCATGTTTCATCTTCAAGGCTCTTACTGATGGAAGGATGTTTTGGCTTAAAATGTCACGATACATGGCCCCGTTTATTCTTCCCTCAGCACGGATCAGTTTTCCTGTCCCATTTGCAGAAAAACAGCCCCAAAGCATGTTTTTCTTCCCCAATTCTTCACAGTGGGTATGGTGTTCTTGGGAGCAACTCTGCATTCTTCTACCTCCAAACACGATGACTTGGGTTTTTACCAAAAAAATTGAACAAAAATCTATCTTTGTTTCCTCTGACCACATGATATTCTCCCAATCCTCTTCTGGATCATCCATATGCTCTCCGGAAAACTTAAAG